ATCTATCTATCTATCTATCTATCTATCTATCTATCTATCTATCTATCTATCTATCTATCTATCTATCTATCTATCTATCTATCTATGAAATATTTCTCTGTAAGGTAGAAATATTTGTATGTGAATACCTGCTAAATTAAATTGGACGTGGTTTTATTGTTTCACAAGATATCCTGCAGTTCTGCTGTTTTCCCAGAGTGAATGAGCTGCAGTCAGTGACCCAAATCTCAGAGCAATGAACTGCTTGACTCAGACTGTTGTTTTATTCAGTGCACTCACTGTCAACACGCAGGGTGAGGAGGAGGACGGGTGGGCGGGAGCCGATGGAGACGGAGCATTCCGATTGGCTCCCAGCTTCGCCCGCTTCACCGTCATTGGCCGCGCGCGCCGTCGCTCCCTTTCGGCCGCTTTCCGCGCCGCTCGGGTGTGCACGCGCGCAAGGGGGGGACCAGGCACGTAACGGTTAGGAGACTGTCTGGAGTCTGTCTCAAATTGATAAAATTGGAAATGGAGTTTTTGTGTTGTTTTGTTTTTTTGTTTTTTAAACTCATCTCAGCGCGTTCACGGGGGAAGCCGCCCGGTGGGAATCTTAGCTTTTGCTCTCCTCYTCAGACGTCTGCGCCCACGAGTCTTCCACGTTTATGCGAAGTATTTATATTTCTATTCTCAGATAAAACGAAAGTTTTTATTCCTCCCCCCTCTCCTCTGCAGTCTGTCAGCAGACAGCTCATTGTGCTCAGGCAGGTAAGACAAGCGCCAGAGAGCAAACTGCACAGTGGATGCTGCAGCGTTGCGCCGCTGTTTTGATTTTATGACGTTTATTTATATATATTTTACTCTTTTATTGCCTTAAGTATTCTGGTTTGGGTTCGCAAACTGTAAAAAGCCCAGCACATCTTAGTTGTTGTAATGAATTAAATCGTAGGCTCTGAGAGAAATTATTTTGCTCTGTTTGTTCGTAACTCGCTCCAGACAATAGCTATTTTGTGGCGGACTTGACCTCGTTCACACGAGTTCAGGAAGGCGCGCAGGTGACGCACGTTCGCTGACGCAAGGCTTTTCATCAATTTCGCGCGCGCCTGAGCTGTCTGTTTACTCAGCACACACCTGAGGGGGGCAAACCCTCATCTCGCTGTTTTTAACCCTTTCAGTTACCAAACTTCAAAGCACTGGATATGTCTTGCAATAGCATCATTTAGGCTACTTATCAGTTGGTTAATTCAGATATTGGAATATTATGCATTGTACTTTTAAATAAATAAATGAAATGCAGTAACATTACCTTATTTTTGCAATTTCCTGTCCCTGTTTATCCTCTGTAGGGAATCCTTTATACTTGGAGTTCAAGATGAGTCCACAAAGTCAGCCGGCTTGAACTCAGAAAAGGTTTGTTGCTCTACTGGAAACTGTGCTCACATTTATTCTCCTAAAGACTTTTTGACCTTAAACCTATGGGTAGCTTCAAAAATCCACCCACATAATTGCAATCAGAATAGTTGGATATGTGAAATATTTAGGACATGTAAAACAGGCACACAAAACAAAACGACTGACATTTTAATTACATTGATCATATTTTGGATAGCATTTACTCTCAGCCCAATTTTTATTGAAGTTAGGTGGTTTGAATTATGCCTGTTCAAGGCTAATTGTGTTATTGTTATCTCAAAGTTACAATAATGAAATCAAATTAAAAAATATATAAAACATGATAATAAAATAAAAATTAAAGATAAGCCAATTGTGAGAACTAATGTAAAAGTCTTTAGTTTATCAACAACAACCAACTTTTTTTGGTCTATAAGACATTCAAAAAAGAAGACTAAAAGGATTTGAGGATGCAGTGATGGATACGTCTGCATCAGCCACAGTCATGTCTCTTCTGCTCTGTCATGTCTGCAGACTGAGCAGTCATATGACTTGGCGAGCCTTCCTTCCTCCTTCAAACTGTGTTTGAGCAAGATGGCCACTAAAGTGCTGTAGAGACATAAAACACAATATAAAAACAAAAAAAGTGAAGAGAGTTGTCAATATGTTTCGTTTAAATGGCACCAAATTCAAATCTGTGAGGCATATATAAAAGGGAGAGGGGATGTTGTGTTTTGACTGAAATAATTTGCTGGAAAACGACTAGGAGCTCTCGTATCAGTGTGTTGATGAGAAGTTTCAGCATTTTTGCGTGATTCTCACTGCGTTAGTCGTGTTTTTCTTATTTGTTTCTTGAGTGCTGTGTGTCTGCCTCTTCCTGGGATGCTTGGTAGCCATTTTGTCTGATTCGTGACTGTAACAGGCTACAGGACATCTAACAGAAGAAACATAAAAAACCCACAAAGTCCGCAGGTTAGCCACATGGCTTCAGATTTTGAAAGATTTGTTTTATTTTTTTAATCGTTACATCGTCTTCTTTTTAAAGTTACTCAAAACTGAATGAACGGAAAATCACAATTCCATTAAATTATAATTAATCGGTTTACCAAAATACAGTTCAGGCTTCAAACATAGCAAAGCTCTTTTCCACAGTAACTGCTCACATCCAGATATTTTACAATYGATTTCAAGAACTTATACAGTCTAACCTGAATAAAATTAAAATCAGACAAACTTATATRTTGGATTTTACAGGAAAGAATCCCATTAAACGCTTCATTTTCAACGTAAAGTTCGTTGTCTTCGCGTTGAGATAGCAAAACATATTCAAAGATCAAAACTGTTGTTTAAAGATAAAATTGCGTATTCACACTGGCTGGTTTTCTTAGCAGCAGCATGTATGTGTGGCGAAACACGCTTTTACGTTTATGCCTTTATTTCAAAATAAAAGTTGGGACCAGCTTCTGCAGGTTTTTCCACAATCCTGTTTTTTTCAAAGCAGCGAGGCAGAAGATCACATTAAGTTTGGCTTTAAAAACAGCCCCGAGCTCTCTGGCTTTACAAGTTACTTCCACTCTTTAAGTCTGTGATGTTTATCTGTTCGCCATATCATTGACCAGCCTGGACAGATCTCTTCATTATCATCTTAACTTAGTGCACACTCATCTCCCGTCAGACAGCTCCGATAAGCTCTTCCTGCCTTTGGTGTTTGAATGCTTGCTGGTAGTTTTGATTTTTTAACTTCTTTTTCTTATTATTTTTAATGGCAACCATTCTTTAAACATGCAACAGTATTTTACGGGCATGTTTCAAACCTGATCCAGTAACAAAAAAAAAAAAAAAAAAAAAAAAAGATTAAAAACACGATTCAGGTAAGAGCTGATACAGAAGCTTTATAACTTAACTTCGTATTTGCAACAATAAATTGTCGAACTGTGGTTAATGCTTTAGCTTTTGTGAGAATAACATTTGTGTTTGTGCACAAAAAAGGCACAAAAAAACCTAAAATGACAAATATGTATAACGACATCTAGTTTTCATTTTTGAAATATCGACGACGACAAAAATAGTGTATTTGTGCGATTAGAACTTTTTTATGCACATTATAAATTAAACAAACATATTTTTTTTCTAATTAATAACAATATTAATTTAGTTAATTAATTAATTACTTCAGTAATTTCTTCTAAAAATAATAATTTCTTCTAATAATTTAGTAACACTGCAATGAAAGTGTTTACATTATTTTAGAACACTGACGCCAAAATTTAAAAGAGCCTTTTAAACAATGTCAACTATATAAAAACATCACATTTCTTAAAATATTGCAACTTTTTGTCTATGAATAGAGTTTGAATAGTTTCAAATCAGTCGTTTAATATTACAAACCTGTTTTTTAAAGCTTGTTTTGATTTCTTAATGCGCCATTTTTTTTGCATCAACCTCACAATTGTACGTTCATTGAGATATGTAGTTGTTTGCTAATTATTTTCTCTTTTTTTCTCGCAGGTTTATCAGGCTGATTTCCTGTCCATCCTGCCGCCATGTCTGCAGTCCACAAGTAAACCYGCTCAGATGGTAAGCTCTGTATTGACCTGTTCATTAAAGCACATTTAGGCACGTTCAAAGCTGTGAGGAGCAATTTTAGGAGCGTTTCAAGGTGCTGCAGTGAATGAATGTGATTGCCTGAGGGAACCATCAYTCCACTGCACACAGCAGTCCTAACAGAGGTTTTGCTCTGGACTGAATTGCCAGTTTTGTGTGATTTGAGGCCAATAACTTGCTAATCAAAATCACTGTTCCCACTCCCTCTTCAGCAGCAATCCTTTTTCATTAACATTGATTCATTTATTTATTATTTGTGTGTGTGTGTTGTGTCTTTACAAGCTAATCATGGATCTGGAACTCATATTTTCACTTGAGGCTTAGCTGGAAAATGCTGATGCAAGAAGCACTCCGAGTAGCCATCCTGTTTTCCTATTGGCTCCTTGTCTCCACCCACAGTGAGGTCACGAGGTCTAAAATCGTGACGATGTCTGGTGAAAACAGGCTTTCATCTAGGCTCGAATGCTTCCTGAGCTTTAATGAAAAGCTTTTCAGGCTCTATTTCTGTGCATAAAATCTGAGCATGTTTCAAAGTGTTGCTGTACAGAACAGCAGCCCTGTTTTGCTGTTTGTCTCAGCAGTTGTTGCTGCGTAATGACGCACTTCTTTCTGACATTGGTGTGCGACATTTTAATGAATGCCTTAGCAGTATTTTAAGGTGTCTACTGGCAGACTGCCAAAACRTGGGTCCATTTACTTTTTTTTTTTTCAATAAAAGCACAACTGCACAGCTGTGACCCTGTAGCTGGTCGTAGTCGTCATCTCAAAGCCATCAGCGTCCATTTTAGGTTTTGGTAAAAGACGGGAACAGTTCTGTAACTTGCAGAAAAAAATAACTTGATGATCCAAGTTTTAGAAAGTAGACAAACTTTTCCGCAAACATTTACACGATGCCCCGTTTAAATTCAGATTTATAATTTAAAAAATTTCATTTCCTTTTAAGTCCCACGTTCCGCAAATTATTTTTATTTGATGAACAATTTAGTTTTCCTTTTTTATTTTTTAAATCGTGCAAAGACTATTCAATATTTATTGCGTCCAATTCAAAATATAAAAGATATAAATACTGACAACTTTTTAAACTTTAATTTAAACATGCACGACAGTAACATATTCTAATATAGAATACTTTATTCAAATATAAGTTTATACTGTTGCTTTTTACAAAATAAATTCCATAGATGTAATTATAATAATTACGATACAAGACGTCAAGTAAACAGTTCATTTTGAATTGTTTTATAATTATTTAAGGCGGTGAGTATATGTTTCCGTGTTTAATTCAAAACATTTTCTAATTGAAAATCTAGAAACTTAAATTTGATTTTACTGGATATAAAACCGACACCAGTCGAGTTATTTTTTTATGAAATCCATTTTTTTTGCAGTAAGTCGTGCCTCGAAAGAATAAGTTAAACACRTTTTGTGTTACTCGAAATCACAGAATTTAACTGTTTAAAAACAATTTTTTATTCAAATTAGTGTGACTATTTTTGTGTGCTTATTTTTCCAAAAATTCAAATTTAATCTTGTTCGCCGCAATTTTTGATTTCTAGAATAAACTATAAACATATTTCAAACAGACCGGACGTTATTAAAAATATTACGTATTTTATGTTTATTGTAAATCAAAGCACGTGGAGCGACATTATATTGTGTTATTATTAATGTGTTATGTTGAGTTAAATGAAAATTACAATTTGAGCTTTAATGAAGTTGTTTTTCCCGTAAATGTCTTTAGAAATAAAGACCCCCATTCCAAGACTTATTTAATAGTGATGATTATTGTAATGTAGGTGTGCTTGTTTGTTTCACGCAAAGGTTTAGGTGACCTTCACTCTCTTCTGTGCTTGTTTTCTTCTGCTGTTAAGACGTCCTGTGAAAGCAGGACAGTGTTCTGATGCCACATAAACACAACAGTGGCTGTCAGTAACATTAAGCTGGCTCTCTGCTCTGTGGCCACAGAAAAGAAAAAAAGTACTTTTGGGGTTTTTTTTATGCACGTGTTTTGGAGGCAGGTCAGAGTCGCCAAACCTATAGATGAGTGTCAGACTGAGTGGATTTAATTTTTTATTTAACACTTGAACTTTCAGCTTTTACAAGAAGACAAAACAAATGGAGTTACTTTTATTTACTTCATGTAAAACATTCAGTCTTTATATAGCATGCTCACTAATCATTTTGTTTAATTGAATAATGAATATTGTTTTGAGAATTAAATGAACATGAATCACTTTTTAGAGAACACGCCTCCTGAAAAAAAAAAGTTACTTTTTTGGCGTTTCAATTGACCAATATTAATAAGTTATAATTTTTTTTATATTTTTTCAWTCTAAATGTATTTATCTTTGTTTTGAATTCCTTATTAATGTTTTTGCTTGACAGTTTTATTATTTTTAAACCACTCCTGAGCAGAGGTTTTGGCTTAAATATTAGGTAGCACTGTCAGCCTAAAGAAATGGGATTAAAATATCAACGTCAGTTGTTATTTATTATTATTATTATTTTACGTTTGATAAAATGTGAGTTCTCCCACTGACAGGAGTGGGAATGTTGCATCTTTGCCTGCATTTGTTACCAGTGATTGAGCTCCCTGCCAGTCTTCAGATGTGCACATGTTGCATGTCCGTTCCCAGTCAGCGCTGTAGCAGTGACAGCTTCAGCAGGACTTCCTGTTTCCATTCCACTGCAAAGCCACCGCTGACTTTTACATGGAATGTGCTCAACTATAACACCCACACAAACGGCAGGAAGAGGGCTGTGGGGTTGAGGTGACCACTGTTTAACTGCAGCTTGGGGCTACACGCCTGCTTGGTCTGAACAGCCGCTTGAGCAAGAAACTTCAGGGCCTGAGACACAACTTCTGTAGCTCTCATTAGGAAGTAAAAACATGAACTGAAGTTCTGCAGATCAGTGTTTAATAAGACCTACAGTAGTGGTGGACAAAAACGGTATTGAAAGCACATGCATCTGTCAGGTGTATTTGGCCCTATCTTTCAACAGAAAATTAGTTTTTCATTGTTTTACATACAAACTGACTAAAAGCAACAACCAAGCTAACAATAAATAAAAAAGAAATTAGTAAGTTGTGGTTGCTTTGTTATCTAAAATTGGATTTTCATTCAGAACTGGTGCAAAATGCATGCCTTAAATATACCTTAACAGATCTGTACAATAATTATGAAACAAACCTGGGCTTTAATCAGGCTGAACGGTTGATATTAAAAAAACGTGCAGCGTTAAAATAAACTACAAAAAAAAAAAAAAAACTAAATGCTGCAGATATTTTACAAAACAGTAATAACAGTATGTTAAAAGGTTATGATTATAAGAAGATTTTTAAGGTTTTTCCACTGAAGTGATTCCAGGGTTATACCAGGACTGTAGCTAAAGCCAGTTCTTGACTGGTTCCATTAAGACAAAACAACCAGATTTCCACCAGGGACCATGTCTTTACATCGTRAACATATTTTTCAGTACTTTTTTTTATCATTACTGTTTTGTTATCTAAATTCCTATAGCAGTGTTTGTCTTGTTTTTCCTGTAGCTGTCTTATTATAGACAGTTTTAGACAACAGTTTGTGTTTAAGAACGCTACAGGCCAAGCTACGTTTCCAACATCCGCAGTTATAAATGATGCCGCAAACGAGGGTTACATACGCCATTTTGAGCCGAATGTGATTTTAAAAGCCCAAGCATTGTTTATTAACAGAGTTGGAAAATGACATTTATAAATCCGGTTGAGAATGGCAATTGTGATTGCACCTCTGTGTTAGCACTGTGGAGTTCTTCTTTCAAATGTGAAATAAACCGCAGAAAGAGACATAATGAGCCAAGTTGTTTCACTGCTTATAATAACGTCCATTCTCAGGATTTTTATTGTTCTGTCTTGTATTAAGCAGACTTTTTAAGCTGACTCATCATTTTTGAAAAACATTTTTCTGAAAGCCTGGTCTTTAAACCCATCTATACCACATGTACTCTCAGATGAAAGAAGTTTTCAACTTTGGCCCAATAAAGAGACAGTGCTAATTTGGTACCAATCATTTGATTAGAGTCAACTTTTAAAACAGAAAAACTAAACTTGGATCCTAACTGGAACCAACGTTGTTGAAAAAAAACCCTGTAGGATTGGTTCATGGTTGAAAAGTAAACCAGTCTTAACCTGACCACTAATAGGTTTGTTTAATATAAACACATATATATTGTGATATATTTTTATTTTGTTTCATATCTAAGAATGATTTTTTAAAAAGCCTATTGAAAAATTTCCCAGCACAAGGGATTTACCAAAAGTTGCCATTAAAGTCAGATATGTGAGAGGTGACAGTGTGCTTGCATTTTTCCTTAATTGGGGCTTTCTCTAACACACCTTGAATACCTGCTTTCACTTTGCCATTTTTGACCTTTAGTGAATTAAGACGGCAAAGGCAGAGTTGAGCTCATCAACCCTGCGGTACATCATAGTGAGGGGAAACTGCTCCATGACTAATTAGTAAATCTCACTTCTCTCAAAGGTGGAAAAAAAAAGAAAGAAAGAAAATGATTTCTTTTGCAGGGGAGTGTGAGGGTTGATGAGTAAATACCCACCTGCACCAAGCTGCAGTAACCTAATAAGTCTCCCCGGACTTTGAAAGTGAATATTTCATATTTCACTGATCTCTAACAGCTTTTCTGCTTGTCTCATATTTGACTCTCCACAAGCCAAGGTGGCTATAAGACTGCAGCCACAGACTGCAGGGTTTCTCCTGTCACACAATGGCGTGGAAAGGTCAGGCCTAATGAAGTCAGGGGTGCGACCCCTAGTATTCAGTGACTTTGCATGGGCTCCCGTCCCACCGCTGCAACCATGCCGGTTAATCCCTTTTTGATCCTAATTGATAGGCATTAACATGATCCTTATCCAGGAGCTGTGTTTTGTCTTCCACAGTCCTTCTCTCCTGGTGTCAGTGACACAAAGTGTGAAAGTGTTA